CTGGTTTGCGTAAGAGCTGAGCCCCTCCCCCTAAATGTAACATGACATGCGTGATGTAAGTGACCGGGTTGTGTAGCACAGAAGTGTACTGTCCACCCTTTTTAGTCATTGCGTCCATACCCATCTCTGACCGTCCTCACTTTGTCTTTTTATCGGTCGGCGACGGGTAGCGAAGGGCATGCATTTTTTCTGTACATGTCTGCTACCCTAAAGGCTAATTCAAGCGGAAGTCGCCACTGCGCAGTGGTTGTCTTAGTGACTTTAGATTTGTAGGATTATTACCTATATAGACGTCATTTGAAAATTTATGCTTGTGGCGCCTAGTCCTACTTATTGTTGGTATGATTTAAACGGAATTAGTCTTTCCAAACTTTGATTAGATATTGTCCGGTAGTCCATCGTTATTGGGCATGCATACTCTGTTTTACAGTACTTTTTCGGTTTTAAGAGTTTCCTTTTTTAACATTGAGCGTTGCCGTCGCCATGAATCTCGATAGTCTATGTTCAGGACCTTTCTTATCCACAGACACTGCTTTTCCCTGTCTTCATTTTTCATTTCCTTTTTATAGGCCTGGCGCTTTATTTGGTTTGACGAGACCTTCTGGCAACTATTGTTCTTTGTCGTTCTTGTTGCAATCGTCTTCCAATGGCGGCCCAGCAGTACAAACAAACTCTACGCCCGAAGCGCATTCCTCGATCCAGATGTTGAGCCTCCACCCGAAGACCTCGAGGAACGACTCATCGATAGCATAGTTTCGGGTAACGTATATATCTATATATCAGAAATAGACGACAGTGTTTGGAGGTAACTTGATACAGAACTGTTTCGGGCTTATTTTCCTTCCTTCAACCAAGCATAACCCTGACCGCCAGCTACCCGGAAAGATAAGCATGCGCACACACAAGTGGCGCAGATGGTCCACCACTGGAGTCTAGTAGATGGGTTATAAGCACTTCATCGAAACGCAATTCATCAATGTCTCACCACCTGCCATTTACTGTCACGGCAGACCGGGTATATATTCATTCAGGAATGTGCGGAGACCGATGTAATTGGCTTCCTGAAGTAAACGAACTTCGTATAGGCGCTAGGGGTCCCGAAACAAACGACCACCTACCACGCCAATGCCGGCCAAGTCATAATAGCACAGAGGGATGACAGCGTTTAAGGGTAACTTGATACAGTATTGTTGCGGGCATATTTGCCTTCGTTCAGCCAATCGTAACCCTGACCAATAGCTGGGCGGGAAACAGAAACCTGCGCACATACGGGTGGCGCAGATGATCCACCACTGGGGTCTACTTCTCTGCTACCATAGCTCGGCCGGCATCGGCCTGACAGGCGGTCGCCCGTTTGTGACCCCTTCCCCCCAAACGGAATTTGCTTACTTTGGGAAGCTTTTTGTGTCGGTGTGCGCCCATTCATACATATATCCCGTTCATCAGCCCCCAAAGAAGACAAGAAAGAAAAAAAGACGCTTTTTTGGACCACTGTCTTTGTGCTGGCGGTTGGGAAACATCCTCGTTTCCATCAACAGAGTGTTTAGATGTGTGTTCGTGTTTGCCGAGAATCCTTTTGTCTGGCCGTCTGTCTCGCATTATAGGCATGCTTAGCGCACGAGCTCTCATCTTCCTGCTGTACGCGTATTCGCTTTGGCCACTCCGTGATGGGCTGTGGACGCCCACGTGCGTCACCTATCGCCTGCACGATTTTTGTCGTCGCTGTTAGGTCTGCGTGCGTATCACGTGCACTTGGGTGGCTATTATAGGACCACCTCTTACACTCGGGTGGACGGACCACGTTCACCTGTTTGCGCATGTCTATAGTACGAGACAGACGGCCAGACCTTCGTGGCAATAGAAATATCGCCTCAGTGTACATATCTGGTCTGAAAATCTACGCCCAGTACGAAATCCGTCTTGGTTCGGCCGCGTCCTAGACTCGCGGACAGACTGGAATCGCCTGAGGAGAAAAATAGCGAAGATCTTCGCAGCGACTTCGATGAGACTTATGCCGCGGTAGTTCTCGAATCTTGTCTAATCTCCGTTCTTGTGAACAGGCAAAAAGTTGCTTGAGCCTCCAGTCATCAGGAACCTCCTTCCCTCTCCCTGTTTGCCTAGTCATCTCATGGAGGCAAGGCGTCAGCTTCTCGACACAGGACCTGTAAACTGTAGCGGATATGCCGTCCTCACCAGGAGCCTTATTGCTGTGCTATCTTTTTATGGCGTCAGCGACGTCTCCTTCAGAAGATGGGTTGCACGACACCGGTTAAGTAAGAGGAGGAAACTTCACTTTAGATTGGAGCCTGGAGATGTTGGACCCCATATCGAAGTTGAGATGGTGCTAAAAGTTCTCACGCCAGCGATCGGCCTTGGTCGCGTTGTCAGCAGTAAAGCCGTCATTGATGTCACTACTTACCTGGCGAAGAAGTTTGTAGAGTTTTCGAGGATCACCAACGGTCAAGGCCTGCTTCATGGAGGTCGCTATTTAATTCCATTATTTCTTCTGGTCCTCTACGGCCGATTTGCAGTCACCTGTTTTAGTTGGTCATCAGTACGGCACCTGACTCCAACTGTCTCACTAAAGAGCTGCAGGATCCTTCCACTGATCCAGTCACTGCGGCGTCGCTGCGTGTATCCAAGATTTTTCTCGACGGCCCTATAGGCTGATATTTTCAGTGATGACCATTGGCTACTTTCCTCTCCATCGACTCGTCTCGTGAAACAGGACCAGATTTCTCTGCTCAGGGCTTCGGCAGTGTTGGGTTGCCAAATGTTGACGACATCGAGACGTCTAGTGGGCGCGGATAAGAGGGGAACTTTCAAGCGTGTACGAACGAGAACATGGTCAGACCCATTGGCTTTACCAGTCTCGGCCTCACACAGCGACCTCATATCATAAATCCAGCTGCGCAATCTTCAGTTGACTAACATATAGTCAATCTGACTGGCCGTGCGATCATCGTTCGAGGACCAGGTTAGCAGGTGTTTGTTGCGGTGCTGGAAGCACGTGCTCATAACAAACAGTCGGTTCCGATCAGCAAAGTTCGGCAGTCTTTCATCATTCTCACATCGAGAATCAAGGCCATAGTGGCTGATAAGATGGCCGTTTGTTGAGTCACCAGGCCAGGTTCGACCATCCCAGCCCCTGACAACAATCAACAAATCGCGATGAGGCAGCCTTTCAACTACAGCTAGTAGTTGCGAGTAAAACATCTCCTTATGATGCTGGTCGGCGCATACACGGCGACGACAGATATGTTTGTGAATTGACCCTTCAGGCGTATGTAATCCATCCGTTCATTGACTGGTTCCCAGGCAAGTAGTGCCCAGTTCGCCTGTTGCGAGGGCAATTGCCTCAGTATGTCTGCCTTAGGAGTCACGTGAGCCACTGTAGTATAAGGTTAAGTATGAGTTGGCCTCAGGTAACTTTATTTTCCAAGCGCCTGAGTCAGGAAGTCGGATTTCCGACAGACAGCAGACATCTACGTTGTACTGATAAAGGCTGCGTACTGTCAGGCTTTGTGTACCAGGGCCAGGAATGTTCGCACATTCCAGCATCCAAATACCCAAGGTCCGATTCCAATTGAGTAGTCCAGCTCGCATACTATTCACTTGCACCACCGGACCAGGGTTTCAGGGTGCGGTGGTTCCCGCGGGCGCCCTAGCATGGGTCTTAGTGCAGTTATCGGATATAGGTTTTCATGAGGTGTCTTGGGAATTTTGAGTACGGGCAGGTTCTCAACAGCCGCTTCGGTTGCTTGTTCGAGGTTGTCTCCTCTAGCACTTTGGCTCCGTAGCCTGAACACAAGCCAGCGGTGGCAAGCGAACTTATTTAATGGCGGTTCACGATCGCCATGTTACAATGCCGTCGCCAGGCTTTGCGGCACTATACGCTCTTGGCGTGCCAGACCTCAGCCCGCCCCGCCCTCGTAGCATTGCCACTGCTCCTCCGCGACTGCCTATTCGTAAGACCCAAGAGTGCTCATTTCGCAGCTAACCTTTACTGAAGGTCTTTCCACAATCCTCCACTTGTGGACGCGCTGGGTAGCCAGCAGCTAAGCTAACAAGTAACCCGCCATCCCTGTGTCAGTCCTGCTCGGAACCGTGCATTTTCAAATTTATTAGCAAAATGTATGTGGCCTGGCTGTAAGCTATGGCGTGCTCTTAAATAACAGGAATTTGCAGAAGCTTGCCAGTATTTCTACTTGCTTCCTCATTTTCCCGCCAGGTATCTCCAATGACAGTACCAGTACCGAGGAACTCAAGGATCGAAGGCATGACGGAGAGGCAGAGGTTAGTCAGTCTTATATATGTATTGATATGTATTTATTTATTTATATCACCGGCATAGTAGAACAATGTGCACAGGAACAATTCCTGTTTTTGTACGTATCCCATGGTCTGGCGGCGAACTGGGGAACCAGCCTCAAACATTTACGCATTAAAGATTCAGGTTTCCCAAAGAAGCATTTCTCTTCTCAATTTAGTATCTTGCTATGCCCGTATTTCAACACATTTATTTATATATATGGAATAAGAACGTAAGGCGATCTCTGAGAAAGATGGTTTATTAATCGTCTGACGTTTCACACTGTTTCTTCAGCACATCATCGGTGATAAATAAAAATAGGAAATACATGTTTTAAATAAGCCCTTTTCTTATCCACTCCTGATAGGTTCACCAGGGTCTGTTCTCATTGGTCCGTTCTTGCCTTAGCGGTGTTTAATGGTCTCGTATGGCGTTGGTAGATCGATTCTGCGGTTAATAGAATTAACATCGGATTACTATGCCTCAATCGCCTTTCTTGTCATCTTGATTTCTGTCCGGCCGATAACTTGTGCACTACCAAATCCGACGTGGTGATCGTTTTCGAAACAAACGAAAAGCAAATACTTCTCACTGTCGTGCTGATTCAAGCGTCTCGCGTCCGAAAATATTGCCAGTGGAAGCGAAGATGCGCGCCCCCAGGCAAAAATAAGAAGAAGGGACTACCTCGGAAACCATAATTGTATTTTTCCCCATATTTTAAAGGCAGACAATCTTCCGTCGTCGGAAGTACGTGTCGTACCGTGTCTCACAGTATTTATAGGTGGGCGATAAAAATAGGAAATAAGGGGTTAGGAAGGTACCGAAAGGGGACTTGGGACGGTTAGCGCGCATCTATCATCGTGCCG